GAAAGCTTAGGGAAGAGAATGGCATCATCCAGTCATATGGTGGTACTTTGTTTTCTTAACCTGTTATGCATTATCATGTGCTGTGGATACTTTTATTTGGGAAATGTGTTTTATTGTTATTTCTTTGGTTAATATATGCCATTTGGTGGCTGTGTATCATACTATCTTCTATTGTCAAACAACTTTTATATGGTTTATTGTTACTTCTATTGTGTTTTGACTCAACACTGCATGAAGATTTTTATTTTGTTTCTTTTGGCTAGCTTAGTTTTCACAAAAGGAAGGTGGAAAATTTTTATATGGTTTGTGTATTAGAGCTGTAGAATGTACTTCCATGTCATATTTGTGTCCCTTTTGTGCCTTTCTACAACTTAGCTATAGAATTTAACCCAGGACCCCGCTCTTTCATTATCTAAGAGAAGAAGTAACTTTATTTGAAGACCTAAAGATCATCTTAGTTAGGTACCATTCTTAGTTTGCCTCATTCCTTTAAATTTCCATGTGTTTCTTCTCTATTAATTTGTTCTAACAAATAGGAAGATGTTCATGTAAAGATTTCTATAAGAAATGAAAATTACAGAATATGTTCACCTTCCATAGGAAGAATTTCTTATGGTGAGTTTTATCAATCTGCAGATGGGCCTAAATTGGATCATTGTGTAGAAAATTCGCAGTAATGCTACTCACTCAATAATATTTTGGTTCTCATTTTTTCCTAGCTCTATTTTAAAGGGAACTAATGTTCTTCCCTTATGTTTTCTTGCATTACAGTTGTTAATTTTGGAGTACTTCAGTCATTCATCTGTTAACCATTTAAAATCCCTATTTAAATGGACACCCAACCAGAGTGCATCCTTCTCCAAATTCATGTTACTATTCTCCTTTGAATAGAATAGGAGTTGTGAATGTTGGCTTGATTCAGCTTGTGGGACCATTTTCTATTAGATTACTAAACATGAAATACAGATATTGGTGTGGAAAGGAATTAATTGATTGCATTTAAGGAGGTTGTTCTCCCTACATCATTATTTTGCCTATTTATGTCCAAATGACCTCAAAGCATTTCTAAAAATAGATTAGGACTTTGATGCATTAAAGTCATATGTAATCAACCTAAAAAATTTTGGACTAGAAACTTAGTTGAGTAGTCAACAATAGGCACCGTGATGGTCTTGGTTGATTTGGAACTGTGATTGTTTTATAGATTTGTGAGTTTCTTAAAAGGATGCTTTGGGTTATTTGGATTTTGGACATGATGTATATAGCTAACTTGAAGTGTTGTATTGAGGAGATCAATTAATTGGTATCAGATTTTCAACTTTCTCTCTCTTTGTTTTGTGCAAATAGAATGGTGACATTTTTTTAATAACAAGCTGTTATTTTACAGGGAAGGTGATGACTGATGGGTTTGAGGAGGTGGAGATGTTTTGGAGTTCTAGAGTTGTATTCATTGTTCTTTTTATTGTCACTTACTACCTGAGTTTTTTGTCCTTGAATATTTTTTCAACTTGATTTCTAGATTGTTTTTATCTATTAATTGTCTCTTTAATGAGCAGGTAATGTGGATGAAATGTTAATTTGGCTGGTTAATTTTGATTTTGGGGTATAATATGATAACATGTTTTTTCTTTTATTTCTTGGTTCTCCATTTTCAACAATGGGATGTGTTGTTTACAATGTCTTATGACAGTGTTAGCCAATGAAAGTTTATAAATAAATTTCTGTTCACAAATTGTCATGGAAAATGGATTAATGTAATGCTGACTGGCTAAATAACGCAATGATGATTTTGCTTTCTATAAATTTTTTTTCCTCTCTCTCTTACCATTTCTTTCAAGTCTTCAGTGTACTGGTAGGTTTCCTGTTCTTTGCTTTAAATATCATTCACAGAAACATGATTCCAGTCCTATTTATGCCTAATTAAGTGAGAACCATAATTTGCTAAAGATTGCATCCGCTAAAAATGGCATTTGGCAGCCATACTCTCTCCATCATTCATCTTATGCAGTAAGGTGCTAAGAGAAAAGTTGGAAGTCTCCAGTTTGGTTTTTGTTTGAAATCTTAAAATGGGAAACTTGGGTGGGTAGAGCTAAGCACTCAAATTGTGCTTATTTGAAGAAGCCTTTTTATTTTTTTTCGTTGGTAAGATTTGGTTTTTGAAACCAAATAAAGTATGATATTATTCAGTTAATGAGAAGATGAAGTTTTTGTTGATTCTTATTTACTTTTTGGAATCTTTTCTTGCAATTTCTTCTTATGGCAATTAAATTCAAGATTAAGTGAATTTTTTTTTTAATGCTAAAATGAAGGTTAGATTGATTAGTATGTACCTAACTTTGTATTTTGTCAAGTGGATACCTGAAACTAAAAGATTCCTAACTCATTATGGATTCCAGTTTTCTACTATTTGGGGTCTTGAGAATCAAGGGTGGCAAATGGAAGAAATTCAAAATCCCAATCAGACAATTATAGGTCTTCCTCATCACTTCGGCATTTGCACATTTCCTCATCACTTGGCCATTTGTACATCCACTGTGTTCTAAATTCATTCACGTGGAAAGGGTGACATGTAGACATATTATGTCAAAAC